CAGAGGGAGAAGCAGACTCCCTGCTGAGCAGGGAGCCCGATGCGGGACTCGATCCAGGGACTCCAGGATCATGACCTGAGCCGAAGGCAGTCGCCCAATCAACTGAGCCACCCAGGCGCCCAGCCCCTCCCATCTTTTTATCTGGATTCTACTTCTAGCTCCATTTGGTGATCTTGGGCATGTCATCCTCTCTGGACTGTTTCCTACTCTGTAAAAAGATGACATTGCCTGCTTCTTTAATTTTATAGGATTGTATTAGGATCATGGATGTGAAAATGCTGTCCAAACTCTAATGTGCCATCTTAGGAAAGGTAATATTATTGAGGCTTTCTGAGCTATTATTCCCAAGAACTGTGTCTATAATAAAGCCTCTTAATACCCTGAGCTGTGGACATGTGTCAGTCACCTAGAAGATTCATTTTTATGAATTCATTTTATGGATCTTTACTGATAATATGCTCTTTGCCAAGCATTATGTCAAATATAAAAATGACTTCATTTTCAAAAATGAATACAAAAATAAATAATTTCTAACCTTAGAAAGCACACACCCCAATAAGGGAGATTTTATTTATTTATTTGAAAGAGAATGCGAGCAGGAGGAGAGGGAGAAGACCCCAAGCAGACTCTGTGCTGAGTGCAGAGCCCGACGCAGGGCCCCATCCCAGGACCCTGAGACCGGAGCCAAAATCAAGAGTCAGATGCTTAACCGACTGAGCCACTCAGGCGCTTCAGCAATCTATGTTTTAAAGGGTTATCCAGGTGATGGCTGCAGGCTGAAGTTTGAGGACCACTGTGCTTTGGGAACAGAAGGAAGGAGTGATCACACTCTATTGTAATTCTTGTATAATTATCTTCTTTACTACACTGCAAGGGTAGGGAAGCATGTTTAAGCTTGTTTTCTGTCCTCAGCATTTAACACAATGTCTGGTACCAAGTTGGAATTCCATAAACATTTAGTGATTAAATGATCAGTTAGATGTTTATTTCTGTAGTCCAGGTATAAGATGATAAGGACCATAATTAGAGCTGTGGCCATAGGAAAGGAGAGAAGAAAGAGATCTGAGGTTATAGAATTCTTGGGTTATAGAATTTATAGGATACGGTAAGTGTGGATGTGGGAAGTAAAAGAGAAGGCCTAGTCCAGGAACATGCTGAGATCTTTAGCTTGAGTAATTGCTGATGTCATTAATAGTATAGAGGAGGAAAAATAGATTTTAGGAGGAGACAGTAACTTTGGTCTTTGTAGGGTTTTTTGTGTGTTTTTTAAATGTACAGAACTTTATTACTCAAAAATGCGAACCATCATCTGAGCTTTCAGTGAGTCATAGTCACTGACCACAGATCATGGTCTTTATAGGTTTTGAAGCAATTGGAAATAACAGTCTAGCTCTAAGGTAAGATTGGGACTAGAGATAAAAAGATTCAGGAGTCAGCAGTATCTGTGTCAGTTCTCAGGTGGGGCTCTATATTAGAATTACCTGGGAGTTTTTTAAAACATTTCTAGTGCATAATTCCATGCTAGACCACTTAAATCAGAATCTTTGAGGAAAGGGGCCCAGGAATCAGTACTTTTTCTTTTTTCCTTAACATTTAATTATTTGAGAGAGAGTGTATGAGCGCAAGCCCGTGAGGTCTGCGCAAGTCAGGGGAGGCGCAGAGGAAAGAATCTCCAAGCCGACTCCCGCTGAGCGTGGAGCCTCCTGCGGGGCTTGCTCCCAAGACCCTGAGATCATGATCCAAGCTGAAACCAAGAGTCAGCTGCTCAACCAACTGAGCCATCCAGGCGCCCCAGGAATCAGTACTTTTTAAAAACCTTTCAGGGGATAATTCCATTGTGCATTAGTGTTGAGGCTCACTGGTAAAGATTAAGGAAGTCATGTAGAACCAGAAAGAAGGAGGTTTTTAGTCAGAATCTGGAGGGGGGATACCAACATTTAAGAGTAAATTAAGAAAGGGGGGGAATCGGAGGGGGAGACGAACCATGAGAGACTGTGGACTCTGAGAAACAAACTGAGGGTTCTAGAGGGGAGGGGGTGGGGGGATGGGTTAGCCTGGTGATGGGTATTAAAGAGCGCACGTATTGAATGGAGCACTGGGTGTTATACGCAAACAATGAATCATGAAACACTACATCAAAAACTAATGATGTAATGTATGGTGATTAACATAACATAGTAAAATTTAAAAAATAAATAAATTTTTTTAAAAAAGTAAATTAAAGAATAAGGGTAGCAGAGGAGACCCTTTGTGGGCCAGGATATGGAGTCTATTTTAGTTTTTGGTGCCTTACCTCTCTATTGTAAGATTCTAGTGTTGGATCCACATGACTTCTGGGCATGACTATGTTTCCAATAGAACCTGAATTATCTGCTTCTCCTGCTTCTGGGAATTTGCAGTAATTCCCTTGACCCCATCTTCCTACCACTAACACCTAGACAAACTGATTTATACAAATAATGATTTTCTAGTAGCCTATAAAGCATTCTTGATATTAAACAGCAGCAGCCTGGGAGAGGATCCCATAGGACAGTGGTTCCCATGTCTATTCACATTTGTTATTTACCCAAAGCTCACATCTTTTCAAGTTCATGTTCGATCTATAGTTGTTATCTTGGGCTTTGTGGTATAACATAGCAGCAAGAAATAGGGCTTCCCACTGGGCAGAAGTAGCTGGTGGTTTCTTTTATTTTGATTTTCTTTTTCCTCTATTCCCCTTCTTCTACTTAACCTCCTTATCTCCAACTGTGTTTGTGACTTAACTTTTTACCTGTAATGAAAGAACAGGGTGAGCAGGAGAGGGCCCATGTAAACAATGCCAGAAATGGAGGGCAGCAGCAGCAGATGCCTCTAGACCTCCTTAGGACCAACTGGTGATGGATTGAGAGGGAGCAACAAATTACAGATTGGAGCCAGAGTTCTCAGGAGCCTAGGGATTGAGTAGTTTATAAAAGAAGCTCCAGTGTCTTTGTGGAAGAACAAAGAGGTAAGTTTGAGTTAGATGTGTTATTAATCCAACAAGAGTACCCTATGACCCAGCAATTGCACTACTAGGTATTTACCCAAAGGATACAAAATATAGGGTCAAAGGGGTACATGCACCCCTATGTTTATAACAGCATATTCAACAATAGCCAAACTATGGAAAGAGCCCAAACGTCCATAGACTGGTGAATGGATAAAGAAGATGTGGGGTGTGTGTGTGTTACTCAACCATCAAAAAGAGTGAAATCTTGCCATTTGCAATGATGTGGATGGAGTATTATGCTAAGTGAAATAAGTCAGTCAGAGAAAGATAAATACCATATGATTTCACTCATATGTGGAATTTAAGAAGCAAAACATATGAACATATGGGAAGGGAGAAAAAAGAGAGAGAGGGAAGCAAACCATAAGAGACTTAACGATAGAGAACAAACTGAGGGTTGATGGAAGGAGGTGGGCAAGGAATGGGCTATATGATGAGCACTGGGTGTTGTATATAAGTAATGAATCATTAAATTCTACTTCTGAAACCAGTATTATACTATATGTTAACTAACTAGAATTTCAATAAAAATTTGAAAAGAAAAAATATATATCCAACAAGAGGAACTGCATTGCAAGGAATTGGATGGGCAGGAAAAAACACATTGAGCTTTTTATAGACCCTTAAAGAGTAATAAAACATAGTTTCTTCCTTCAGAGATTTTCAGTCTAATGAGGGAGACATTTGTATAAATAACAGAATGAAGGAATGAAATAATCGTTAAGTAGGTATACAGTAAAATAAATTATTTCCTCTAAGAAGATATTCTTTTTAGAGAGGTGGCATCTAAGTTTGGCATCAAAAAGATGAGGAAAATTTTACTCAGAAGGTTGGCAACTGGAGGTGGGGGTGGCATTCTAGATTGAGGAAGCAGCATGAATAAAGACTTGGTATTAGAGTGTGTTCAGTAGTCAGCAAAGTAGTGTGGTACATGGGGAAAATGATGGGTGAAGCTGTTAACTTAATACTCCCATTTGTATCATTGGTGTGATGAAGGCCTCTTCTCTCCTTGTATTAAGTAGGCCCAGGGATATCTCAGGCCTACAGACTTCCCTCTCTCACTGTGTCAGTTGTGTCAGTTAAACTGTAGGGATGGGGTAGCATTTGTCACTAAGGACCAATTAGGAATCACCCCTAATGATTTGTTTTTCCTACTACAAATGACTCACCCCATCTGAAGATTCTGAAATGATCCCTTGGTTGAGAATCACTGCCATAGAGAGCCACTGTTCTTAAGGACTGTGTCACATCCCTCAGGTGTGCTGTGGGAGAATAAAGGTTGAAAATATGACCCTGACTATGAACTCCCCAAGACCAAGGACTGTGTCACTAATTGCTTTGTTATTTCCCACAAATTCCTATTTGGGGATTGCCTCTATAAGTAGGCAGTTAAAGCTATATAACCACCATTTCACATCATAATTTTTATAGACACCAGTTGTTTGGTCTGTTGACTTCTGGCCGTCTGTGAACTTGGAAAAGAATAATAATGAGCCCAGGTTTCTAACTTCATTGCCTGCCTTTATACAGAATCCTCACCATGGATGGGCTCATCGAGGACATTAAGCGACGGCGGTACTATGAAAAGCCTTGTCGCCAACGACGACGGGAAAGCTACGAAACCTGTCGGCGAATCTACAACATGGAAATGGCTCGCAAGATCAACTTCTTGATGCGAAAGAATCGGCTGGATCCATGGCAGGGCTGCTGAGGCCTGTGGATAGTAGGCCCAGTATGAAAATCCCTATCCAGCTGTCTCCTTTCTTTCTCCAATCCCATTTTCTCTTACCTTTCTTGTAATAAATTCAATCACGTATGTGCAAGAAGGCCTGCATATATAGAAGCAATCCCATAGTCAGCAGTGGACCCTCTCTTTTATTATGTGAAGGAGAAACTAAGTCAAAAAGTAGTCTAGGAGTAGAATGGTGGTTGCCAAGGGCTGGTTGGGAGTGGGGATTTAGTGTTTAATGGGTACGGAATTTCAGTTGGGGAAGCTGAAAAAGTTCTAGAGACAGATGGTGGTGATACTTGCACAACAATGTGAATGTACTTAGTGCCACTGAACTGTACACTTGCATGGTGAAAATGGCAAATTCCATATATATTTAGCTATAATAAAAATTTTTAAGTAGTCTAGGAGAGGTGAGGAACTTTTCTAAAATGTAGTGGAATATATCTACCATTTCCTACTCAATTCTTATGAAACCCAAAGCAAGACATTATTGGAAGAGCATCTGTTACTCTTTACTGAATTGTCCCCTCCTACCAACTGTTAGATAAAAGGACAGGAGAGGAGGCATCTACGTATTTGGAATAAATTTTGCTACTGAAACACCCATCAACCAGACTAGAGTGCTGGAATCCTTATCCAGAGGAATCCTTTTTATTTATTTATTTATTTATTTATTTTTTATTTTTTTAAAGATTCTATTTATTTATTTGACAGAGAGAAAGAGTGAGAGCAGGAACACAAGCAGGGGGAGTGGGAGGGGGAGAAGCAGGCCTCCCGCCGAGCAGGGAGCCCGATGTGGGACTCGATCCCAGGACCCTGGGATCATGACCTGAGCCGAAGGCAGACGCTTAACCGACTGAGCCACCCAGGCGCTTTTTTTTAAAAAAAGATTTTTATTTATTTATTTGACAGAGAGAGACACAGCGAGAGAGGGAACATAAGCAGGGGGAGTGGGAGAGGGAGAAGCAGGCTTCCCGCTGAGCAGGGAGCCTGATGTGGGACTTGATACCAGGACCCCGGGATCATGACCTGAGCCGAAGGCAGACACTTAACGACTGAGCCACCCCAGGTGCCCCTATCCAGAATCCTTAAGACAAATCTAACATTCACTCCTGTTTCCTGTCTTTCCTTTAGTTTTCCTAAAGAAGGCTAATGAAGGAATAGTGGAGAAGAAATAAAGCAGTAGGTGGATGGTAGAAAAGAAGGAATGGGCGAGTATTAAGAGATATAAGGGCACAGAGCCAGAAATATCTACAGCAGTGATTCTCAAAAGTGTGGTCTTCAGATCAGCAGTATCAACATCACTCAGTTAATTGGTTGAAATGCAAATTCTAGGACCTACTTTAGACTTTCTGAATTGGAAATTGGGAGTTAGAGCCCAGTAATCTATTTTTACAAGCCCTGCAGGTGATTCTGATGCCTGCTAACATTTGAGAACACCTGCCCCATCCTACTCCGTTTCCAGGCAGAGGTCCCCACTATCACCCCTACTTCTGCTTAACAGGCATTCTTGGGTGTGTGATCTCTGTGGGAAGACTAGCAGCTCTGCTTCCTTTCCTGTGGTCTGTTTCCTTTGGCCTTGCTACCCTGACAGCCACACTACTAGTATAAGGAGAGTTGGTTCCAGCCCCTGTAGGAGAACACAGTAGGTAGGTGGAGCGACTAGCCCATCTCTCCTCACCCAGGCTCCAGCCCTCGGTGTGGTATTTAAAAAGGAGGTAAACAGCAGACTGCCAAGCACCCTGTCTCTCCAGATTTCTAGTGTTCAAACACTGCCCCCTTGTGGTATAGCTGCATGAAATCGATTTCTCGGTCTAAATTTCAGTCTTTTCAATACTGCTTCTCCTTTTCACAATTACACTTATTGATTAGGCAGGCCTGCGTGAAGATATGCTGGAATCACTGTTCCTTACCTTTCAGGGCTTGATCATCTTTCTTCCCCTCATCAGTAAAGCCCATGGTGAATAAAGCATATTATAGGGCACTGCATAGAAGTAGCTTAGAAATAAAAGATCTGGTCCTTGCCCTCCAGAAATTTACACTGTGGTTGGAGAAATTGTATATACAGACTGTGATCAATTTTGTTACCTTTGTACAACCTCATTTTCAAGTTAGACATTGATCCTTCTGAATCCCTTTCCAGTCTCTGAATTTGGTCTTTATCACTTTTGAGTGATTTTGAGCCGTGGCATTGTTTCACCTCCTGCCAATTGCTGCTGCTGAAGAGTAAAGGCCTGGCCTTTGCCAAAATGGTAGGATATGTTTGTGATAGGAGAGCCAGGCCTATTGGCAGTATTCCTCTGAGATTACAGTTGCTCTTGGGCTCCCTCCAAAATATCAAGGGCTGGCTTAAGAGCTGGAATTTCCTTCATCTCTGAAATTATCCCCTGCTTGTTCTAGTCATTTTCCTGACCATTGCCCATGTCCCCCAGAGCAGTGAACAGTGATGGGTTTTAGCCGTTGGCCAGTTGAGAGGCTTCTTGTGTAAAGGGGGTAATTGGCTGGCTGCCTGAAGTCCGGTCAGTTTGTGCTGTCATGGCAGGGAAAAAGACCTTCCACTCCCTGCTCTGAGAAGGTAGAAGGTACCTCAGGGTCATATAATGAATAGGAATTTCCCTAATCCTTTTATCCCTGCCTTGGGTTCAAGAGAGGGGTGGTTTGGTGTTTGACCCAGCTGCAGAGGGTCATAGATGCAGTACCTCCTATCCTGATCTTAGGCACCTGTGACATTTCTTAGATGTCCACTGGATTTCCTCTGACAGGTCCATTCCAATCATAATTTAAGGATCTTACAATGTTTAGTGCTCTGGAAACAGTTACCCCTTTAAAATTGGGACTCTGTTGTGAAATTTGACATTGTACTTCAAAGTTTTCAGAAGTGCACTAAGTATGAAATGAGAGTTTGCCTCTGTGTTAACAGAAAACATTAAGGAATAGTAACTCACTGAATACTAACAAGGTAAAGTAATAATGGAGTGATATGTTAAATGTAGGTGTTTGAAGGGAGAGGAAAATATTGGGACTATGTACCAGTTATCTTACATATGTAGTTTTTTACTTAGATCTGGATTTAATCATGATCTTGGCAAATTGTTTAACATAATATCTAGTTTCCCCTGTAAAATGAGAATAATTGTATATAGGGGTTTGTGGTGAGGATTAAATGAGATCATGCATGTCAAATGCTCAGCATGGCTTCTGGCACATAGAACTTAATAAATGTTAGCGATAATCCCTCAGTTGTGCCAGACAGAAGCCTGATCATTGAGTCTTCCTCCACACTCAGCCATCACTAGTATCCACTTGATCCCTGTCTTGAGGACTAAATGCCATAACCCGAGTCCCAGCTCCCTTCTGGATTACAACTCTTTTGGATTACAACAGTCCGTTAACCATTTTGCATCGGTGTTGCCTGGCCTTCAATCCCTCCACCCTTACTTAGGTCAGAATGATTGTTCTAAAATGCAACCTTTTTTTTTTTTTAAAGATTTTATTTATTTGACAGAGAGACACAGCGAGACAGGGAACACAAGCAGGGAGAGTGGGAGAGGAAGAAGCAGGCTTCCTGCGGAGCGGGGAGCCCAGTGCGGGGCTTGATCCCAGGACCCTGGGATCATGACCTGAGCTGAAAGCAGACGCTTAACGACTAAGCCACCCAGGTGCCCCCTAAAATGCAACCTTGATCATTTCACTTTCCTGCTTAAGTAGGTAATTGGTTCCCATTGTTTTCAAGATAAAGTCCAAACTACTAGCATGGCATTTAAGGCCTTTCATGATTGAATTATTCTTTTCTGTCTAGCTACTTGTCCCATCCAGTGTACTTCTGGGACATAATGTTTTCTCCTTCTGCCTGTTTACCAGCTCTCAGTTTGGATGTTCTCTGAGATGACTTCCCTATCTCTTTACCAACTTTTCTTCTTCTGTTCACTTTTTTGTGTCTTGAATTTATCTTTTTCAGCTTAACTCTGTAATAGTAGTTTCTTTCTTTCTTTTTTAAAGATTTATGTATTGTTTATTTGACACAGAGCAAGAGAGCACGCGCACACACGCAGAAGCAGGGGGAGCAGCAGGCAGAGGGAGGAGAAGCTGACTCCCCACTGAGCAGGGAGCTCAACATGGGGCTCGATCCCAGGACCCTAGGATCATGACCTGAGCCGAAGGCAGACGCTTAACCGACTGAGCCACCCAGGCTCAGTAGTAGTTTATTTCTATATTTGTTGTGATGTATTGCTTACTTGCCTTTCTCTCTCCATTAGATTTTCAGTTACCTGGAGGTTGGGTCTTTGTTGTTGGTTTTGTTTTGTTTTGTTTTTTTGAACCACTATATTCCCAGTGCCTAGTATTATGCCCAGCATTTACATGCTCAATAAATGGGACACCTGGGTGGCTCAGTTGGTTGATCGTCTCACTCTTGATTTCGGCTCAGGTCATGATCATCAGGTCTTGGGATCGAGCTCCACGCTTGGCAGGGCGTCTGCTTGAAATTCTCTTCCTCTGCCCCCTCCCCACCCCCCCAAATAAAGAAATCTTTAAAACAGTAAATGCTCAAGAGACGCCTGGGTGGCTCATTCGGTTAAGCGTCTGCCTTTGGCTCAGGTCATGATCCCAGGGTCCTGGGATTGAGTCCCGCATGGGAGCCTGCTTCTCCCTCTGCATGCTGCTCCTCCTGCTTGTGTTCTTTTTCTCTCTGACAAATAAATAAAATCTTTTTATAAATAAATAAAATCTTTTTTAAAAAATGCTCAATAAGTATTTTTTTTAAGGTTTTTTTTAAGTTATCTCTACACCCAGTATGGGGCTCAAAATTTAAAATCCCTAGATCAAGAGTCACATGCTGTACTGACTGAGAGGAGCCAGGAGCCCCTCAATAAATTTTTTTTTTTAAAGATTTATTTATTTGACAGAGACAGCGAGAGAGGGAACACAAGCAGGGAGAGTGGGAGAGGGAGAAGCAGGCTTCCCGCCGAGCAGGAAGCCTGATGCGGGGCTCGATCCCAGGACCCTGGGATCATGACCTGAGCCAAAGGCAGACACTTAACGACTGAGCCACCCAGGCGCCCCTC